ACGTAACACGCCCTCTTCCAGAAAATGTAACTTAGGTCTGCTCAGCATAATTACAGTATAAGCCACGGGTTGCCTCTGTGGGTGTTGAATAAACCCAAAAGTGCCTGAGCGAGAGTCTGCAATAGGGATTGGCTAGCCACCCTAGTAGACAGGTATCCTCGAATACGAGTGTCCAGCTATTACATATATATATATATATATATATATATATATATATATATAATATAGGAATCTAAATGGAATAATAATAAAAAAAACGAAAGAATATTAATCTACAACCCAGTGTGTCTAAAGATTTTAATTTTTATTTTCTCATTGTTCAATATATATATATATATATATATATATATATATATATATATGTTAAATGTCACCGCCATTTCAACACCAACAGTTTCTTTTCTTGCACCTCCTGACAGTGGAACTCCTTCAGCTTACTTCCTTCCTTGATAACTACAATCTTCAAAATTTAAATGCAACGTCAATCGCCATCTTCTGTTGTCTTGAACACCGCCCATTGTTTTTATCCTTCCTTCAACCCTCTTATGCCCAAGTTTTTTCTCCTACTTTCACTCCCTGTAATCCGCTGTGTACTAGTGGCACTCCTGCCTTACTTGGGGTGAAATGATTATATATATATATATATATATATATATATATATATATATATGAAGAAATATAGTTTTACGGTGTGCTATATTTATGAGATAAAGTGCTCAATATCAGAGATAGAACGTATGTAAATATAAAAGTGAAGATTGAAGTCAATGTTCACTCATATATATATATATATATATATATATATATATATATATATATATATATATATATATATAGAGTGGCTAGAGAGTTTTTTTCGAATATGTGACCTCTGTCTAACGGGTATTGGCTAGCCAGATAGAAAAACAGATGTCTGTCTATCTTTCTTTCATTATGCTTGTATTTCTCTCTCTCTCTCTCTCTCTCTCTCTCTCTACATATATATATATATATATATTATACCAATTTATGACTGATAGGGATAATTCTAAGGAGGATATTAATCTAGAGAGAGCTCAATGTAAACTACAGGGCATTATAATAATGATGGATCAAGAAGAAAACCTTAAAGATCGATTTTGATAATAATTTATTTCGTGAATATTTGTATATAATCATCTCTTCCGACCGAAAGCTGTTAATATCTTAATATAGATAGATAGATAGATAGATAGATAGATAGATAGATAGATGTGAATTCAAAACCTGCGGAGGGTCGTTTGGGGGCCTTGTGGCACGTAGTGCACCAGGTCCCTGTATTCAACCCTTCAAAAAGTGTCGAAGGTTCTACACAAAACTTTCACCACTATAATGAAATCATATGTGCTGGTGTCGGGCTTTCGGTTCCTAGGAATTGATCTGCTTGACCCTCATTCGTCGAATTCGACGAGAGAGTGGAATATATATATATATATAGATAGATAGATAGATAGATAGATAGATAGATAGTGTTTATCTAGTCTCTAGTGTTTATCATAATTTCCCCACTCACACTCCGTTATATATATATTTTTTTTTCTCCCCGTTTATTGTGCAGATATATATATATATAATATTTACTTATTTAAATTTTTTTTTCCCCTTCATACCATTAATCTTTTCATTTTTAAAGTTTTAATTGTATGTAGGGTGCGTGTGTAAGTTATTTATATTGCAATTATTGTGAAATAGTTCCCAGTCGACCCTGATGAGCTTGGGAACGAAACCGGTTGGTCTGTTTGTGAGAGTTATCATCTCTTATTTTTTATTTTGTTTCCATAATGCCTTTAAGAAATAATTCATATTTATTCCTTGCAATACTACGGTTTTGTACCTCCAACAATTTATTTAAATATTTTAAGCGGAGGTATCCCAGAGACATTATCAAAAAACTTGATAAAATTCTTCTTATTAAGGCAAGATTGAGAAATCTGAGAAGTAATTGTAAATTTCTTCAAGCCTGTATAGATAATCATGTTTGTCCCTGCTCTTTTTTGTTTAGAATTAGGAGTGCTAAACTGAATCCAGGTCTAAAAATTGAGGAGATTTTTATGAGGGACTCTATTCAATTTTATACAAATAGAATCCATCTACTCACCCGTGATCTTACTGTCCTTTATAGAGAATGTTTAACCGACCTTTCATTTTTTGATAGGATTAGGTTCTGTCATTACGTGGCCTCTATTCAATCTAAATCTTTAAGAAGATTATTGAGTGACAAACAATCTAAGTAGCAACATTTAATCAGTAAACGGTTTGGACATATTACAGAACCAATTTCGGGAGTTATCACCAACCTGTCTACTTACGAGCTTTCCGACCTAGAATCTAGTATACTTTCGCATGGCCTTGACCATTGCATTCCATTTAGGAC